TCGACCACCCTATTTTGTTTAGTAGATTGGCATCTTTTGGATTTGATGAGACTGCATTGAACTGGTTCCACAACTACTTAACTAACAGAACCCAAGCAGTAGTTGTGGATAATGTAAAGTCCCCCTTCATGGAGGTCAACAAAGGAGTACCTCAGGGATCTATCCTTGGACCGGTTCTATTTACAATGTATATAAATAGCATTGCAGAAAATATTGAAAACTGTAAAATTCACCTGTATGCTGACGATGCAATATTATATGCCATTGCGCCCTCCAATACGCAAGCCCTTTCATTGCTACAGACCGATTTTAACTCTTTCCAGCAAACTCTTGTTTATCTTAAATTGAAACTGAAGCCCGAAAAAACTAAATATATGATCTTCTCAAGACAGAACGTTGAACCCATTAATGCCACATTGTCAACAGTAGACAATGTAAACATTGAGTGTGTTCAACAGTTAAAATATTTAGGTATCTGGTTAGATCATGATTTGTCGTATAGGTCTCACATTTCTTGTTTATCTGTAAAAATAAGACCGCAACTTGGTCTTCTGTATAGGAACAAATCCTGTCTAACAGTGCACAAAAGAAAAAAGATTGTCCAGGTCACAATACTGCCCGTTTTGGAATATGGAGACACAATCTGCTTCTGTCTTGAAGCCTTTAGATGCCTTATACCACAGTGCTCTTTGCTTTATCACAGGCAACAGATTTCAAACTCATCATTGTGACCTTTATCGCTCTGTAGGCTGGTCCTCGTTGGGTCAACAAAGAAAGCAGCACAGTATTTTGTTTATTTACAAGGGACTCATAGGTAAACTCCCTTCTTACCTTACTACTCTCCTGTCCATAAACATATCGAGCCATCCGACTAAGTCTCAAAACTGGATAACTTTGAAAACACCAAGGTTTAGAACTGAATGGGGAAAGACTGCCTTTAGTGTTGCTGCACCCATTATATGGAATGACCTTCAGAGGACAGCTAAGTTGCCCTCTCTTGTTTCATACAGCGTGTTTAAAGACCTAGTGCCCAAACTACCTCAGGAAGGAAATTGCAACTGTTTCACAATGTGAATTAATTTAAATGGACATGGTTTACATGTGTGAATATGTGTTTCAGTGTCTAGATGCTATTATTGTTTACTGTTATATTATTTATGCTGTTTCTATTTTTGTATTGCTGCAGGGCACCCCTGGAAAAGAGACCTCGGTCTCAGTGGGTCCTCTCTGCTAAAATAAAGGATGAATAAAAAAATAGAAAAAATAAAAAAAGTATTGATGCATTCATTTTTGCGTAATGTATTTTGGGTATGTATGTTATGTAAATGATTAAACTTGAATCCAATCTATTACAAATTAAATTGTAATATATAAAATGGTTTTAACCATACCTCAGTCTTAGTATTTACTTATAGTATACTTAATTTTTTGAAAATACCTACAGATTTCATTAAAATATCAAATATTTTAGGTTGCAGATTGTGGAAGGTGTTGTGGTAATGACAGAAATCAGTCTAAATCAAATAAAAATGTTAATTTAATTATATATATAATTCAGAGTTTCAAGTAACTTTGCATGACTGTTAATAATCAGTTTAAAAAAAAATGAAAATGTATTCTTATTTCTATTGATCTTATTTCTATTGATCTTGAAAATGTATTCTTATTTCTATTGACCTTTCTATTGAACATCCCTGATGTTTTGGGACCATTGCGGTAATGAGATTTTTATGGACTTGTTTTGGAAAATATGTTCTAAAACATGCTAAATTGTCAGTAAATATTTTATAATTAATGCCCATAAACACTTAAGACCTTGATATTAATCCCTAAAAAAGAAATGTGTTTAATCTAGTCTTTTAAAGATTTCATGTTGTAACTCTATAAAACCAAGATTTCATGAGAATCACCCTTTGACACCCCTTGTCAATACTTTGACGTCACTTGTCAAAACTAATACAGTAGACAAACGTCAAGGAATGATGATCTTTTGTGATTTAGTAGGTTATGTAAATAAGACATAATGACAGTTGAGGACTGGCCAACACACAGACCTGAAGACTGTATGAGAGTGAATGACTTGCAGAAAGTTAACCTGGATCATGTTTTAAGAACCTCAGTAAACACTTTTTTGTGTTTTGATCAAAATCTCATGACACAATAGGATGATCAGACTTCTAAAAATGATTATACTTGTATTAGCCAAAGCCACTGCAGAACCAAGAAAATATTTTCCCTTTTCCTTTCATTTGATCGTAGGTAGGATATGCCTCACGTCTTGATAATGTGCTACTGTATCTCATAGATCCTTCAACAGTTCACAGAGAATGCTCACCTGGCTCTTGGATTGAAATATGACTCTGACTCATTGATACCTGGCTCAAAAATATCCCAGATTCCAGCAACTCATGACATCAGCAGCATGGGAGTTCAACTGAGTGTTGACTCAAGATATTGCCTCTAAAAACAGGATAGTGGGTCACGATGGGTCTGCAGTGATAACTTCAAGTGTCCCACAGTTGGTAATTTCCTGTGGTGAGATGTGTTCGAGTACATCATCTGGTATTATATTTATTTATCTTTTTGAAAGAAATGTTGGAAATATCTTGGAGTGGGGGAATGCAATTTTGTGTAATATTTATGGCATCTTTATGTTACTGTTTTGATTTCTATATTCATTTATTCTAAATACAAATAAATATTAAGCTGCAGTATTTGAGTTATTTTTCTTCAAAGCATTCAAACTGAATTTCTTTTTAACTTTTTATTTTGTTTAACTAGATTTATTTTCCCTGAAAGCTACCCAAGACTGAATTTTCATTTTTACACATTTATCAATTACAAAACTGGAAAACGTCTGACAATGTTCCTGTGCTCTCTATTTATGTATGTCTTTTGGAATAAATGTACATGTCTTTCATTTCTTACGTTCCTGTCCTCTTGAGACAATTTCACATGGCTTAACAACACAGATGCATGATGATTCTTTAATGTTAAATATGTATCCGGGCTGAAACTACATGTTAAGACGCAGCACAAAGCAATTTTGAACATGTGCTCCAGTGAAGGTGAACGTATTCCAATTTAATGATTTGTATCTCTTTTGCATTTTGTTCCATTATAATTCTAATTAAGATCTCACATATGACACTTGAACAAAGCCAGGCAGAGGTGCTTTTTTGTTTGACATCCTGCTATAATAACACTCAATTGGCTTCAATTCATAACCTTTTTCTTTTTTTTCAAATGCATAAGTCATTACATTGCTATCTTGCTATGCATTTATCCTGTCAGGGCTATAACTGTGTGAATTGTTGATGTTTAATATCTTACCTTCTAAAGTATCATTGTTCTTAGTTGGAAACTACAAAATCTGGTATGCAAAGAACATGCATATAAGATGAACTATTAAAAGGTTAACTAGATGTGTTAGTAAAAGGAATAAGGAAACATTTTTTTATTTCAGCTTAAAGATTTTTTAAGGATTTATTTTTGAGCTTTTTGTGCCTGGAGAGATAGGACAGTGGATAGACTCGGAAATCAGGGAGGGAGAGTAGGGAATGACATGCGGGAAAGAAGCTACAGGTGGGATTCGAACCTGGGCCGCCCACTTGAAGGACTATAGCCTCCATACAGGGAATGCACGCACTAACCCCTGCGCCACCAGTGCCCCTTATTTCAACTTAAAAACAGCCAAGATAGTATACAGTTCAAGCATTGACGTTAAAATGGATAAGAAAGAAAATATTAAAGAAAAAATTGGTATAATAAGGTTTTCATACAGTTATAAACAGAAATGAAGCTAATTGCCAAGGTCAACATCCTGTTATTAGGGACCTAGTAGTGGACATAAGAGACACCCTAAAGCAATGGTTCTCAACTGTGTCAGGACTCGGGACACAAAAGTAGTTCGCAGAGCCATTTTCAGTGGATTGCGAATGTGTGCATGGGAAAGAATTTGTCTAAAATTCTATTATACAATTTTACAACATGATTGTTTAGGACAATGTCTTTGTTCTGTCACATGTTTTGTGCTACCTGAGGTCCAAATTTGCACTTTTTGCCAGTAAATAAATCTTGCTGGTTGAAAAATATCAGAATTTTGGGTCACGGTTTCTAATTAAAGAGTTGGTTGTTGAGTCCTAAGACTAGAAGAGTTGACAACCACTGCCCTAAAGTACAAATTCATGTTAATTGTTTCTGCATTCTGTGACACCAAAAAAGAAAATATTACACTTTGTCTTCTTCTCTTTGAAAGCTAAACTGAGCTCTTCTTTGGTTACAATTTTTACCCAGGCCTATTTCCAAATTTGCCAACTGAAAAAGAAATGATTCTGAAAGATAAACTCAGAGATTAAGTGTTCCTCTGTGGGTTGAGAAAAATGATGACCCTACTTCTTATAATAAACAATTTTGAAGCTAGATTAGTTGGATAATAAAACAAAACTAAAAAAAAAACAGGGCTATTCATCTTCATGGTCACTACAAGACCGCAACACTACCAACATGCTGATGTTTTACATATTATGATACATTGCTTTAGATTAATCTACAGATAAAACAAACATAAACATATCACCTCCAATAAAATAAGGTAATATCCACAGTATAATAGTAAGACACTGACAGGCAATATTTAAAGCAGATGTATACTTTTACTTTAGAGGATTGTCTATTAATAACCTACTTTTGCTTACTTAAGCCTATTGATATTTTTAGTTAAGTGGGAGGTCTGAACAGTCTATGGTCTGAACACTTATTCTACCCCCCCTGCACTAAGAACTACTGCGCTACTGATGGGAAAAACTTAGTATAATTTCCAATGCAAATGCTGCCATCAAGTGGTAAACCTTTTCCATTACACAATAAGACTTCGCCAGCAAGCAGCCACCATGTTTGTAAACCAACCTTTTTTACAGAAACCGAAGGCGCCTATTGGTCAGGGAAATCGGTGGTTCCTCCAAACTCATTTCTGGTTGGTTCTTTACAAACCAAACAGCCAGCATGCATCCTTGAGTATCTATTCGTTAGCTTTAGCTAGCTTTTGATGGTGGTCTTAAGTCCGATGATCAACAGGTTGGTGTTTGACTTAATGCACTGTTTTTAGCATTAATTACACACACATTGTTATAAGAAAAAATATTGCCACACCACCGCGCACCTTCCTTGCCTTCGCTTTACCGTTCTTTGTAAAGTAGATTTAGTTAGCATCTTGGCTCTAACATCAATGCTCGCTAATTAGCTTTGAGTTAGCATGGTTGATCTTGTGTCATCCAGTCTAGTAACTAACGAACCCAGCAAAAGTCTCTTTGAACCGAAAACGAGTCTTGCTAGGTTGCGTAAAGTGTCTTGGTGAAATAAGCGTCTTTCCCCCGCGGTGCTCGGCTCTGTTTACGTTACAAATCCAGTTTAAATGTGGCGGTTTGCATGAACTGTGAAGTGACGACGTGGGAGGCGCAGCACGGAGCCAACTGAGGCTAACCTTTATGTTGCTAGGCAACATATTATTCTGCACATAAATACGGATGTAACGTCGTATTAAACTGTAACACACTTTGTCGTTAGACGCGATAAAATAAATTGACGAGGGCTGCATTGCACAGTAACACAAAAAGGTGCAATTATTAATTTTATCATTAGCAATTAGGATATTATATGTTAGCGTACTTCTCGCACAGTCAGTTTCCATGGTAACAAGCCACAAGATATAACACTTGCTCAACTGCGTTCATTTAAACAACACTGAGCAACGTTAGCAAACTAGAGCTTCCTGTGCGTCGTTATTTCATCAGATTTTGTGTATTATTGTGTTCTTACATTTTTTTCATTAAGCAAAGGTTTTGAATAACCTTGTAAAGGACGTCCTGCTTGAAGGTACGGTCAAGTAAATGATGGTGTACGAAGCTAAGCCTCTACTTCACCGCTGTCGTTAGCTTGAAAACTGTCTTTTAACCATCACCTGACGCTGTGGTCAAGTAATTAGCGTAGATACTAAATTGGTGTTAAAAGCTTTCCTATATTCAGTTGTTTACTTAGCCATATATGCGCTAGAGCTACCTACTGTATATAACTGAGTGGGATATTATTAGGGATACAGTAAGTAATATTTCTTAAAGCAACACTGCGGCGTCCTAAGTACGGTTTTATAGGCTTCTAATCCGCTTTGAACGTCTTATTTATAGGGATGGAAGAACCGCCTGTGGTGATCCTCCAGCACCAGACGACTGTCAGGTAGTGACGGTGCAAAAAGCAATGCTGTGCTGCTGTGTAAAATGAAGAAGATATTCAGCTTTACAAAGAAAAAGAAACACCCGTCCGGTACCCCTGACAATGGGAGTGTACTTTCAGTCGGCTATGAACTTAAAGACAAGGACCTTGGCAAGGTTCACAAGGCAGCCTCAGTGGGTGATTTGGCAAAGTTGAAGCAGCTTGCTAAAAAGAATGATATCAATCAACTTGACAAGGAGAACAGGTATGTGGGATAACAGTACAAATTGTCTCTTTCTTGAAATTTGCTTTACTGTATTTATTATTTGCCTACAATACTCTTTAGCATAATACCTTATGCTATGTAAATGGTTCTTTAAATGTTATAATTACTTGGCATGATCATTTTATCCTCTTGTCTCCTGGGACACATTTGGCATCTTTTTTTCTCAACACATTTTTCATTAGTGTACATACAAGTTTTCCTTATCTGAAAAAGTTACAGCTTTTCTAATAATTGTGATATACTGTATGGTTCAAGGATTTTTTTGTTGAACTCATAAGTATATTTAGAAAACCAGCTAAATTGTCCATTTAAATATGACTGCAGAAATGCACATTATTTCATTAATTGCAGCGATTTAATACAGACAATGTATTTGTATTGTTCATGGTAGGTAAACACATTTTGTATACTTGAGCTGGGTTGGGTTAAAATTATGTCCATTATAAAACTTTTAACGGCACGCTACCTGCTGTTTGAAATGTACATGACACCCCTGTGTTTTTTTACTACTTATGTTTCAAAGTCGGATCCTGTTACCAAATGCAATCAGTATGTGTCAAAAGTAACTAAGCAGTGTAAGTGGATTACTTGAGCCAATTTGCCCGGATGCATGGAATTGGTGAAAATATGGAATGGCTTGTCAGAATTTGTGAAATGTTCCCGTTGATCAATAATTATTAAACCATTTAAATGTCAAGCTTTAAAACTGCATCTATAGTTGTAAGTGGAATTAACATGTTATAACAACAAATATGGGGAAGAATCGAATAGGTTGAAAGTAATGATTATTTTCATCATATAATTATCAAATCATTAAATTAAATAATATGCCAATTATTTTAATGATAAAAGCGATTAATAATTTAGTCTGCAAAATGTCAAAAAAGGGAGAAAAAAAACCTCAATACATTCCCCAGAGCTCAAATTGATGTTTTGAATTAATTTTTTATTTTTTATATTAATACGTTTATTTATTTTTGTGTGTGTTTGCATGGACCACATATGGTACAAAGCATAAAAAAACTTTGATTTGCATTTATTTAAGATAAATAAATTATATATTCTGAGGTTAAAGAGGCTAAATCTAGAAAATGTTTTACATTTTCTTTAAAATGATGTGACAGGCTCTGCATTGAATACATAGAACTTTGAAGTCATTAAGTTGTTTGGATAGGGGACTAGTAAAGTAATGCAGGGGTATAACAAATGTCTGAGGAAATGGTAAAGAACAAGAATGTCTGCATCTGAGAAATTCTCCTTTCTGTTTTAGGACAGCACTTCATATTGCCTGCGCCAGCGGACATGTTGAGGTGGTGCAATTCCTTGTCGAAAGCAAAGCCAAGCTTAACCTATGTGACAATCAAAACAGATCCGCCTTGAAAAAGGTAATACTCTACGATGAACATCCAACACAGAATGATTCCTTATTAAATGTTAAATATCATAATGATCATAATTACATATTTCAGGCAGTGCAAGGCCAGCATGAACGCTGTGTAAGCATACTGCTGGAGAATCATGCCGAGCCTAATCTGGTGGATATCAATGGCAATACAGCTCTACATCTGGCAGCAAACATCCCTTCAATTTCCACTGCTGTCCTTCTGCTCGAACATGAAGCTGACATCAATGCTCAAAATAAGGTGATTTTATCTTTTTGTCTACCACAATGCAACCTCTCAGCCTTAGGCTAACCATCAAGTTGTTTTCCGCTCAATCAGACCTGGTGAAATGAAAGCATATTTATTTGAATTGTTAGTAAAACAAGTACTTGAAAATATTCTATTCCTGAATGTAATTTGGAATGTTTCTGCCCCCTATAAACTTTGATATTCGATTCATGTTCTTTGGTGACGCTTGCTGCTAAATTAATGTTCACTATTATCTCATTTTAGGAGGGATACGCACCTCTGACTGTAGCAGTCCGTGAGGACCATATTGAAATGGCTGAGTTTCTTCTCAAGGAGGGTGCTGATGTAAATGTGATCGACCAAGCCCAAAGGTGAGTTCTAAATAATGATGCGTTTCTGTTACATGTCCACTAACTTGACATGTGAGAATTCTTAGTTTAAAGTTGGCCATGGTCTTACCTGCAGGTCCCCATTAATGATAGCTGCCGGCAATGGACAAATCGGTATGTTGCGGCTGCTGTTGCGATTCGAAGCAGATATCACTCTAAAGGATACCAAAGGATGGTCAGCTGATGACTACGCAGTGATGAATGGCCATCACCCGTAAGCTTTGCCTCTTATTCTTACACTTACGTTCCTTGAGTGGTACTTCCTCAGTAAAGGTTAACAAATGAAAGCGAGCAAGCCCAAAAAGAAACACAATTTATTATCAAGTTTAAATTTTCTCATAAGAAATATATTTTTTAAGTGATGTTTTTGGGCCTTTATTGATAGGACAGCTGAAGAGAGACAGGAAATGTTGTGAGGAGAGAGTAGGGAATGACATGCAGCAAAGGGCAGTGGTCGGATTAGAACCCACGACCTCTAAGCACTGAGCTAAACCAGTGCCCAAGGAATCAGTTTTGGTCTTCATTATTTCTGTAATTTTCCTTGACACACCTGAATCTGACAAAGTAGGTAGGGTCATAGTCCATAGGTTAAGGCTTAAGACATTTACTGTGTCTTCATTCTCTTGTAGATGTTCCCTCCTGATCATTGAGCACAGTACCCAAAGGAACGATGGGCCCTCCCTATCACTTCAAGGCCCAAGCAAAAAGAAGAAAAAAACCTTGTTGGGAAGTCCCTCACAGGATGTTGAAGCAGGCTTTTCTTTGGGAGGACCAGCCACTGACAAAGATGGTAAGGATATAAGTTTTAAGTGCATGAAGGTGAGCGTAGTAGTACGAGGATACATTTGTGTCTATTCATTATTGACTTGGATTATTTCATTCATTCCTCATGCATAACCTCTTGACTGGATCTAGAGCATGGAGCAAATGAAGCAGGGGGAGGTATTACTTTGCTTAGCTGAACCTTGTCTGCAAACTCAGTCAAAGACTGCCTTTCTTTCCAGAAACATTTACTGAGGATGGGTGCTCTAAACGCTCTTGTTTGCAGGAAAAGCTATTTGTTTTGCTGCTAGAATTGTTGACTTGTGCAACAATTTCTGTTTTTTAGATGTAGAAGCTCTCTGAATTTCCATATTTTGACAGTTTTGACATTAAGATATAACATCACCTCTTCAAATGAGGTTAAGTGGTGATTCGCTGGAAATAAGTTCCTATGCTTTGTTGCAGATTTTGAAGACAATTCTCAGTCTGAGTCACTAAGCCGGTGAGCAAAGTTTTTTTTGTTTTTTTTCCAAAGATATTCTACTTACATTTCCAATTTACATCAAAACTCATACCACTTTTCTCCTTCCATCAGGGTTTCAAAAAGTGCAGCAGATGAGTGGCCTTCATCAGATGATGATGATGATTCGGTTTTAATTGAAAAGGTTTGTACATCATTTTTTCTCGTAATGTGTGTCTCTGGTGTGATTTTCCAAAAATGTGTTCACAGGATATGCTGTCTTTCAGAAACCACAGAGGGTAAACCTAAGAAAATTGATTGCATCGGAAAGAGGACAAGGTACTAAATATCTTTTAACTTACTGGTTTGTTTGTGTCTTCCCATAGTTTGTGTTTTTTGTTAGTAATCTTTTGTCCCTGCCTGCCTTTAGCATCTGCCATGCCTGACAGATCCTTGAGTGGTACAGAATCAGAGCAAGAGAATGAAAATAGAGTCCAGAGAATCCCATACCTCCCACACGCTTTACCATCAAGCAAAGCTCAGCAGCAACCAGTAGATCCCTCTCCTGTTTCCTTCTTTTCCAAAGCACCCCAGATGACTTCTAGCCCTCTTCCAAGCTATAGAAAGGTAACTTAAAATTTTGACAACTTCTCCATTTGCATGTCTAAGACATCTTTCCCTCCCTATTTTTTCTCCCCTACTCTAAAAAGCTGACAGTGTAGCTGAGCGGGAGAAAAGCAAACGCTCAGAGCAACCATCAAGTAGCAAAGCGAGATCTAACCCTCAAGAAGGAAGCCCAGAACCTGAGGAGTCTGAGGAAGAAGATGGAGAGGAGGAAGAGGAGGAGGAGGAGGAAGAAGAGGATGATGAAGATGAAGAAGAAGAAGAGGAGGAAGAAGAAGAGGAGGAGGAGGAGGAAGAAGAAGAAGATGATGAAGATGAAGAGGATGTTGAGGAAAGTGAGGAGGATGGTGAGGAAGAGGATGAAGAAGAAAATGGATGTGAAGAGGAGGAGGATGAGAACAATGTGGCTACTGTGGAGGCCAAAACTACTGAATTTGAAAATAACCAAAAACCTTCTGTTGCCAGTGCCCTTGAGATTCTTGATGGCTCTGATCCTCAAAATGTACCCGGCACTGGTTCTGGTATTGTAGGTGAGACTGAGAAAGACTCCATAACAGAGAACTTAAAACATGAAAGCCCAGCTGTGACAGAAAGTTTTGCAATACCAGCAACATTAAATGTAGCAGAGGATTGTGTTGTGTCAGCAATTAGGGTAGAGTCAAAATTTTCTGATGAAGATGATAGTCTTGGGAAGGACTTTGTAAAGTCATCAGCCCATCACATTAATTCAGACATGGGTTTATCAGGAGGCCCCATTAAAGAGGAAGACTGTGAAAGAGAAGTGGAAAAAGAAGACGATGACTCCTGGATTGATGAACAAAACAGTGGTGAGACGCTTTGGAACGACAGTGATGATGATGAAAATCAAATAGGGGGAATTGGTCGCAAGACTGTCCTTGCTAATCGAATGAGGGCACTGCCTGCGGACAAGGAGGAAAATACAGACTGTTCCACTGATGCTGGATCTAAAAAAGAAGCTTCCAAAAAAGATAAACGGAGATCCTCATGGGGCTCTTCCTTGGAGGACAGTGACGTTGAGCTGCCTGAAGAAGATAAAGTCCAAGAAGCGATTCTAGATCACAAAAGTGATGTTCAACCATCAGATTTACAACCAGAACCATCAACACTGCACTCAAAGTCAACATTATCTCATCCAAATGAAGACCCTGTAAATCCTTCCCGGGATATTTCTTCAGCAGTGGTACAATCTCCAAAATGTGCCTCACCTCGGGCAGTAGATAAACCTACATACTCTTTGAAGATATCTCCAACAAGCACTCCTAAGCCTGAGAGCAGACCAGCAAAAACAACAGCAGATGAATCAGATTGGGATTCTACCTCTGAAAACAACAACCGCAATGATAATGGCTTCATCACTAGAGGTGATGTACTTCCACCAGATACTGAAACAAATATTGTCACAGTAAACCAGACTAGAGAGCAGCCGTGTTCTGATGACTCTAGGGAAGATGAAGAGAACGAAAGTATTGACAAAGAGTCAAATGACCCCTCCCCTGCATTGTCGCCGGCACCTGAGGATGAAGTGCTAGATAATGATGATGTGGAACCAGTTAGTCAGTTATCACAAGTCGAAGGAAAAGTAGACTCAGAGAATGAGAAAGGTGACGATGATAGTTGGGATGATGACGATGAAGTAAGTGAATCAGAACAGCAGAAGATGGTGAAGAATGAAGTAGCAGAATGTGGTAACATCTTGAAAACATGTCCTACTACCCCATCCAATGTGCTGTCCCCAAAGTCGAGGCCCTCAAGTGTAATCAACACAAAGCCAGAGGATGAAGCAGAGTTAGATGACCCTGGGGAAGATGAAGGCGATGATGAAGGAAATGGTGAGACTTCAGGGGATGAGCAGGAACAACAGCTGGTTGTTAAGAAAGACAATGCCAGCAAAGATGATGAACCAAGTGAGGACTCTGACAGCATGGACAAAAAGCTGCAGTACGATTTTGCTAGCGCAACAGTCAAAGTGTCCGATGATAGGTATGTGTTCAAAGGTGACAAATCTGACAATGAAAACGAGGCTACATTGATTGCATATGTTCCACTAGAAACTAAAAGTGCCATTGTTCCCCTGGAAGGAGTGTCAAGTGATGACCTCCATAAAGAGCCAATAAGGGAAAAGATTTCGTCATGCCCTCCCACCAAAGAAGATGTCATTGATGGTCAACTCCATGATTCAGACAGGAGCACATTGTCTGATGAAGAGTTACCTCAGACTGACATTGATGATGTTGATCTAGACTCACCTGATGTAGAGAGTGTAGTTCAAGAGCCAAGTCAAGAGCTCAGAAATGTTGAAGAGCATGCCATTCAGGTAAAATCGATGTAGAAAAGATGATTTTTAACTGTAGTGTAGCAGTTTGTGGTGTGGCCCCAATAAACCCTGAATTTTCTCTTTTGAACTCCCTAGTCTATTCATCAATAATGGCATATGGACACACCAGTAGTATAAATAGATTTGAAGAACAAGATTATGAGATAACATTTATTTTCTTTACACAGGACAAAGAGTACACTGAGGATGACGACGAGAAAGAACAAGATGAGGTAATGAGAGATGATGATGATGATGATGATGAAGAGGAGGAAGAAGACTTGTCAGAGGAAAATGAACAACCTGAAGGGAGTCAGGGGTCCCTTCCAGCCTCATTGCCTGTGCCTGAGTCAGAAGGTTCTAAAAACAAGGAAAGAGGTATTGTAAAGAGCGAATCTTAATAGAACATGTCAGGTAGAACTGCATGTCAGTAGTTATTGCCATAGACCATAGTTAATGTGCTCGTACATTAAGAAAAGTATTAACTGTAAACATGTGAATGGATAAAGATGCAACAAGACATGTTTTGAAATGATTCAAAGTGTACTGTGCAAAACCCATAGAGTTAAATATCATGTCCTAACAGCAAGCAAATGATGCTGAAGCTACCACTGCTTTTCATTTATTTCATTGTTCTTAATCTATATCGTTCTGCATCTAGATTTCCTGTCTGAGCTGGGTCTAGAGAAGGGGGAGGAAGAGCAGGATACCTGGGACTCTGAGGTATAACGATAATACATTTTGGAACACCTGCTTGGGATAGAAGATTATCATAAAGCTCCTAACCGATTGTTCTCTTTCAGTCCCACTCTGACAGCCCAACAATGCCACAAAAGGAGAACCAAAGCTTACGTTCTCAGGATCAAGAAAAGATGTCTGCTGTTAAAGAAGAGATTAAAAAAGGTAGATCTATTTTCTTTATTCCTTTTTTGTCCAAAGCAGTCAAATCATTACATGCATCATTTCATGCTGCAGAATCAGTTTGACCTCCGTTAAGCATAATTGTAGGAAACCATACTTGGTAAAGTAATGCATGCATAAATTCAGTCTGATGTTCAAACATTCAGTTGTTAGACTTGACATGACATTATATTTAATGGAATCTTCATTGATCAAAGCAGTCTTTCCAACCTTATGCTACATTTCTTTTGTAGACTTCTTTTATATTCCCTCTTTCTTAAGAGGGGAAGGAAGCAATAGGATGGCAGTGCTAGAACCTTGGAGGAATGTAGACAGGCCAAGAGGCAGCCAGGAAGGGGGTATGAATGTTTTGACTTGTAGGAACAGCATGTTAACCTAACAGGAGCCTGACCATCAGCTCATGCTCACCATAAGAGAATGCATGTATCACAAACTAATACTCCACCTTGCCTGTTACCACATAACTGCATTTTCCCAAAATTAAGGCCACTGGTTCTTCTCAGCTTGCTTGGTTTTCTCAGGTTTTAGCTCAGATAGTATTAATAGGTGAGTACCAGCATTATTTGCTGATGCTGAACCCCAGCAGGGAATCTATATGCTTGTTTTACGCCTATTAACAATGCATTGTTTTGGTTAATAACCATCAGCTCATTTGTATGGGAATGCATTGCTCAAACTCATCTTGCTTGATCAGAATGTTGCATTTTATTTTACAGGTAACCGTTTTAGTCTAAAACATCACAAACATTTTTCATCTCTCTTACAGTTGCGAACGATACAAGTGATGATAACGGAGGGGAACAGGAGGAGGTTGATCAGGGTTGTGCCCAACAGAAAGAGGTAGGTTAAGCAACTAATTGCAGAAAAGGGTTAAACACATTACAATATGTTGCAAAAATAAATGTGTTGGTTCTTTTTTCTTTCTATCAGACAGAAAAAGCCAAATGGGAACCACTTACTGTCCTGAGCAAACTTCAAGGAGAAAAAGAGCAAACAGGTAATTACTCTGGGACATCACAGGTTCTGTTATTTCTGAACTGTAAGAATCATTGAAAAAAGAGTTCTGTATTTTACTTTGTATCACCTTTACAGACCTGATGGAGGAGCTTGGTCTGGGAGATGTTGATGATCTTGAAGGTAAAATGAACAGTTCTTCTCTGTCATTAATTGTTCAAGCTTATTTTGATCTTCTGGAATTAAACTATTTTCGTCAATATGTTTATATGTTTACTTTGAAGCACTTAGTGTCTTTTAGCTGTCTGTCTGCATGCAACGATGACTTTATAACCCTTTGTATGTTCCTGTCATTGTCCTTTTTGAAGCCCACAAAGCAGGTCAGTAAAAATAAACGAGCTGATTAGATGATGTGAACTATATCAAATTGTCACTGTAGTTCCTTTTTTGAGACCCCAACTTGATAGAGAAGCTTGATAGAGCAGCCACTGTGCATGAATAAAATCATGGCATGGGGAGGTAGTGGTTATTGACCTACAGCTGCTTGTCTTAATGGCACAGATGCATCAGACTGGGACTCGGCCAGTACCACCAGTAAGAGAACCCTGCCTGGCCGCAGAATGGCCTCCCCTGGTATCGAGGAGCTCCCAGAATGTTCCAGTCCACTAATTAAAGAGGAGGATGAAGATGTGGCGTCAGAAGCACCCGTAACACCAGAGAGAACCATAAACTCCAACGACAGACTGCCCGACACACCCCCACAACCAGTGCCCCATCCCCAACCTCGAGCAAGGAAGATGGTGCTTCAGAAACCAGAGAGTGAAGAAGGTCTGACCTGACCTTTCTTTTTTCTTTTTCTTTTTACATGTCCTTACAATTTAACTGCAGGTCATGTTTACAGTATGTTTCTCCTTCTTACTATGAATTTTTGTCATTCAGAATCAGATTGGGAGCCCGACAATTTGGCAACTTCTTGCAATACAACCAAAGTTGACAATCAGCAGCAGGACATTGCTGAGCTACAAGTCATGGATTCACCAGGTAAGGCTCATTGGTTTCTTTTTTAATAAAAAGGTCTAAAGACATTCCTATGCTCAAGCGCTCAAGTTAAAGACTTTCTTCTTCCTAAGGTTCTCCTGAGCTTTCGCCGAGGGTCGGAGAAAGAAAAAGAAATGCTGAGTCTGATGAGCAGCAAAAAAAGGTGAGAATTATAAGATAATAATGCACTTATCCCATTATTTAATTCACTAGTATGTTTTTTCCACAACGTAACATTATCCCTTGTATCTTAGTCACAGTAAATTAAAATACAAAATCACTTCATATTTATAACGTTGTGCATATTTCAAAGCAGAGAGTTTTTCTGATCTTTAGAAACAAGGTTTCCAAATTTCAAAACATTTTGTCATTACTTGCCGAGACTTTGAGGATCCACAAAATATTTGTTTTCCCTTTCACTACGTTACTGGTAATTCAAAAAGTGAAATAAAAATCTGCTTTATTGGCTCAGTATGTTTACACTTAAAATGATTTGTACTTAAAACCTCTAAGATCTTAGGGCCAGATTTACTAAAGGTTTGCATGTCTTAAAACATGTGCAAACTTGATACCACCAGCAAACAAAGTGATATCTGATCTACAAATGGCGCGCAGTGAGGATTGCTTCTTTCATGAGCAAAACAACACGCTTTGACCATTTAGTACGTTTGCCTTCATGAATATGCAACCTAACGTGCAAAATACTGGGAGGAGAAAATGCAAACAAGTTAAGTTAGTACACGCATTGTGATTTACCAAGCCTGACAAAAACTGCTGTGATTGTGACCGTGTCTGTATTTAACACCTTTGAAAGGAACATGCTAATCCAGGAGGCCAGTGTTACGCACAACAGGCTGCTGTTATTGTAGTTAGGAGGAGACATAGGCACAACAAAATAAGGCATAAAGATCACGTTTTACCCCACGTGTTTACATGTTTCAAATGACAGAAAAATAAATGGCATGCATTTATTTTTTAATTTGATTCAATATTCTAATCTTTAAGGAAGAGAAACACCATGATTAAATTACAGGCTATTGTTGCCATAGCCTACAGCCAAACAAAACTGAACATTCATAGCCATTTTCTTTGTAATATTCAGATTTATATCCTATGACTCGAAAGCATTGTGTGTTTATTTGCCTCTCCCACTAATACCTTTTTTGCGCTTGCAGTCATCCTGCTTTCTGTCCATTCTCTGTGATTTAAACCAGTAGAACACGCAAAAGCCTAACTTAAATACTGCCGCCTCCACAAGGTTTGCACCTGTTGTCATTCACGCAAATTTTCTTAGTAGATCACCCGCAAAACGCCCACCAACCAAACATGCAAACTTTTGGAGTGAACACACAATTTAGTACTCTGTAATTGGGAGCTTAGTAAATCTGGCCCATAGTGTATTTGCTTTTGCTTGTTGTCAATAACTAAGTTGGTCAATCCGTATCCCAAAATTAGGTTGAACATTTTAAAGTATGCATTTGCCATGTTTGGAAAAAAACTACAAATTTGTAGCTTTTGATACAGTTTTGACTCTGACCCGATCTTCTGACAGATGTTTAGCAAGGACAGATCTTTACTTTGTCAGGATTCTCAGGTTTTATGTGTATCAAATAAGCAAGTGACAATTTTTCCCAGTAAATCTTTGATCTGTAATTGAATTATTTAATTTGTTAACATTTTAAGTTAGGGTACGAGAGAACAATGTTGAACATTTTGTTTCTTATTCTAAGTCCATTGTTGCTTTTGCATTTTTGTCTTGTCTGTCTTGTGATTTCCTTGTCCATCCATGAAATCAAAGGAGAAAGATGATTCCGTAGATACCAGTCTGTTAGATTTAGACAGCCCAATCGCATCCGGCTACACAGGCTTTGACAGTGGAGAAAAGGATAATGACTTCAGAGATCAATGCAGACCTGATGAAAGAGGGAAAGCCAGCGATGACCCCCCATGGGAGAAACGATATGAGAAACTCTGGGTAGAAGTGGAGAAAAGAGACGTAAAATCAAATTTCAAGAATGTTGCTTGTGAATTAAAAGAGAAGTTTGGGGAACTGCTCAAGTCAAGATCTCCAGCAGAAGATGAAGAGGGAATGGCTGAATCTTCTTCAAGTGATGAAGAAGAAGGGGAAATCATTGTGCGCCCAACGGCCAGAGCGAGGAGTACTGTCCTCCTCACAATCCCTGAGCAGAGGGAATCTGGACTGGAGGACTCAGCGACAGAATCAACTGAAGGGTCAGCATATGAGGACAGGATGCAGGTCTATGAGCGCCCAACGCGCGAGAGCAGCCTGTATCGAGAACAAAATCTGCTCGTTGATAATGCCCAAGAAGAGTACAGGTCTCTTTCACCACAACTCACCAGAGCACAGAGAGACAGCACAGAGATGGCTACCAAAACTTTTACTGATGGTCACAACATAACTACGTCTTCTGCTGGCCATGGTGCATTCTTACAAGATGAGGCCAAACTAATGAAAAACACACATCTGAACCATACCTGTAAAGACACCAATGCTAGTGAAGCAGAGAAGAAGAGTACAAGTCCAGGAGAGGATCCTGAGGATTTCCCTGAATCTCGCAACCTGTGTAGGCGTTCATCATTGGTCCCAGGTGTTTCTGATGAAGAGCTGGAGGAGGACATGGAAAGGTTTAAACTTGAGGTAGGGATGCTGAAGGTTGTCTTCCTGGATATGGAGAAAGAAAAAGCCAGACTCCAGAAAGAGGTAGAGGATGGCCGCCCCCTCAAAACAGTCTCTTCTAGATCGCCTCACTTTCTTTCACTTTATCCATGTGCTTAATTGAATTTCCTTTAATCATCTGTTTTAGCGTGCCCATGCACTGGCCTCATATCATCACTTCATCTGATGTCCTTCCGTTTGATATTCCTTTCCCACGCCTTCATGTTTATTTTCTGAAGTTTTCATTTCAAATAGAAGAGTTGCTCTTGCATGTTTCTCTTGTGTTTTTGTGTTTGTTTTTAACAAACTATAACACATTGTTAATGAACATTTGCTCTGCACTCGAACGTGACTTGCAGCGACAAACATTTGTTCAGTCTTGTGTGTTCTTTAGTATTAATTTGCCCATGCATGAACTTTGCATGAATCTTGATGTTGAATATGCACTGTTGTTTAAACTCTCTATTTTTAGGTGTTGTGGTGTGACTAAAAATATATGCCTCCTTTTTGTCCCTTAAAAAGAAGTGCTGTATGGATGATGTGAAAGTTACTACTGATGGTTGTCTTTATTCCTGCAGGTATTTCTTGAAAACTGAAACCTTATGATACGGACGGATTTATATTTTGGCCAGCCTTTTTGAGTATTTGGAGGTCTCTGTGGGAAGAAAGAATAGATAAAAAAAATATTAATTTGGTGTTCTAAAAAATTTGCTATACTATCAAAAAGATCTCACCTAGACCACCAACTCTTATAATTGTTTCATATTCAAATGTTAAAGGTCACATTTTATGCAAAATACACACAGCATGTTTTTCTACCACTAATAAGGGTCCCTAGCCTGTTTACAAACACCCCAATTATGAGAAAAGTCCATCCTATCCGTCTTTTGCCTGCTCCACTTTTCAGAAAACGTGTGCTAAAACAGACCGTTTGGAGATTTTCCATTCGTGACACCACAAAAAGAAGTAATCCCTCCCGCAGATGGATGACACTCCCACAGCTAGGTGTTTGTTCTGCCCTCTGAGTCTGCCTTCTCACCGTAAACAATCAGGCATGGAGTGAGAAAGCCAGAGCTAGATCCCCTTCCAGAGGGGGGCGTGGTCAGATACAGCTCACTTGCATTTAAAGCTACAGACACAGAAACAGCCTGTTCTGAGCAGGGCTGAAATAGAGGAGTTTATAGGCACGATCCAATGCAGGATCAGAGTGGATTTTTAACAACAAAAAAAACTTCACAGACAAGTTTTGGGGAGACTGAGACTTATTTAAACCTGTTGAAATGGAGTATGATGTGTGACCTTTAAGTTATCCAATACTGACTTAATTGTGAAATTGACATTTGATTCACTTCAGGTATTAAGAATGTTATAGGAATCATGCATGTCCTGGACATGCATGTAATTAACCTAAAAATACCATGTCAAATAGAGTAAGCACACTAAGGTGTTAGGTCTCCAAAGGGAGGGGTGACACTAAATTATGTATGACAAAGTGTACAAGTCCCTGCTCCAACATGCATCTTAAAAAGGCTGGCCCCAAACTGTTTCTGATAGGAATAATCTCTCACATACCATTATCAAATATTTAACCCTCTCTTTTTCAGGTAGTCCAAGAGACGGCAAAGACTGCAATGGATCTTCAACAATCCAGTACTTCCTGGGATACTGGTGGAGCAGCATTGGAAGAAGAAGTGAGTTCTGAGAAACCTGAGAGCAGTTTGGGATCCCAGTTGAGCCAAGCTGGAGCCATTCCCCAGGAACGGCAGCATGTAGCTATGAAGAGGTATGCATTATTTTCTTTTGCACATTTTTAGTCTTTGACATTTCTCATCAGAAAATGGTGACTTTTGCTTTTAAAGCAAATTCATAGCAACACATCCACAATCCTTTACCTAAATTTAGAAGTCAGATTTTATCTACAAGAAAAGATTTGAGTTCTGTTTTGTTTGTGTGAGTGAGTCATATTAAATTCTCTTTTTTTTTTTTTTTTTTTTTTTTTAAATTAATCCACCTGTTGGTGACACATTGAACATACTGTAAAGAGCCCAGTTTTAACTCTCTCTTATTGTTTAATTTGATGTTTTAAGCAATACCTCCAAGGTGTCCAAAATGTAGTTGTCACAAATCATTGACTACTAGATTTATTGCTCTCCATAGCACCAACGAGGCACCAGTGCAATTGCACCTTCCACTCCAGCAGACCCTCAATAGCAACAAACAGGAATGGGAAGCTATAAAGGGAACCTCACAGCTGGAGCTGGTCCGAGGGGCCCGGCACAGCAGAGCCCCTCAGACCAACACCCATATTAATGGAGATCCTCTCTCAGTGTTTGACGATAGCACTTTAAGTGATGTGTCGGACGATGAAGGAAGGTATATATGCAGTATGCCGTTTTCTTTTCACCTCTCTGTCACTAACCATTAGGTGTGTTTAGTCTGAACATCAAGAGAATCATGCAGACAGCATTACTGATAAGCACTACAGGGATTGGCTTGCACGAGAGCCAATAAAGATCTCTGTGCAAATGAAGAATGTATTAAATTGGATATTAAATATACTTGTATATTATATATTTAGCATTTATAGAAAGAGAAACAAAAGGAACATATGACAACATAATGAGAGTTGTTTGTTTAAAGGTCATGTTTGTGCATAGGTGGTTTATGATGAGTAAAATCTGATCGCTTGAAAAGGCCAGAAGTCAAATTGTCTGACCAAATTTAGCTTTGTGTTCAGTCTAAACAAACCTTAACTGTACTGGTGGTGGGCCATGATTAAGATGCAGTCTTTTTACATTGAATTACTTTCCTTCCCACATAGTTGCCTGACTAACGACTAATTTCCCCAAACTAGAATAGTATACTGCATTATACCATTATGCTTTAAGCAACTCTTCAGCTATAACAGCAGCTCTAATAACCTGAGAACATACTCGTAATTTTCCTAATAACTCCTGATTTTCTTCTCTCTGTGTGTTGGGTGAAGATCAACCAGTGGACAGAAAAATGAGGTAAAACTCTAGAAGTAACTGAAGTTTGAATACACAAAACAACCAAAAAGCTGGATAATGTTCGGAATCCATGTTGTTTTTCAGAAACCTGGAGAAGAGGAAATGGCTGAAGACTTTGATGAACTCACTCAGTCATCGGACACAGCCACAGATGACATGGACTCTCCCACTTCGGGCTATCGTCATGCATCACTCCTCGTTCAGAAGCTGGACTCAGCCACTTTTGGTACTGATTCATCTGTTTGAAATGTTATCTTTTTGTTTAATGGTCAATTTCTGTCGCAATAGAATGTTGTAACTTAATAATTTCATTGATATAGTTAGCAAACAAATGTGTGGGTTTTTTTAATAATCCAACTCTGGACTCTTGGAAAGCTCCCTTACAAACTCTGCTATGTTATCTCTCACAGACTCGAGAAGCATGGTGAAGCTGCAGAACATTTTCCACGAGTATGAGCGTTCCATCCAAAAGGCAAGGAGCCGACATGGGTACCTGGTAGACAAAGTGAGCCAGCTGGAAATGGAGAGGACAGAACTGAAGAGCTCTCTAGAGGAAGTGAAAGATATTAAGTCTGCTCTGGAGCGCAACCAGTTGGAACTGCAGACTGAAGTCACAAACATCAAGTAAGAATTCTGTCTTCTTTTTCTGAAAAGCTTGATTCACTTCATATTCATGTCTTTGCTTCAGCTTGGTCTCCCCTCTAATATTTCTCTACATCATGATATTGTGCAAATGCCTGTTCGCTTATTTTATTTTATTCTTTTCTAATTACTGGTTCTGCTCGAGGTTCCTGCCTCTCAAAAGGCTGTTTCTTTATGTCCACTTTTACTGGGTTTAATGTTGCAAAGTGCTGCGCTCATGGTGGATCAATGTTTGGTCTTTGTAAATAATTTAATACAGATTACGCTCTAGACCTGCTCTTTTTGTAAAGTTTCTCGAGATTACATTTGTTATGAATTGTTGCTATCCAAATAAAGATTGATTGATTGACTCAAACTATTTATTCTGACACCTGGTCTAGATTTCAACTGAAACAGGAGCAGGAAAATCGCCGCAATGCCACCATGATGTACAACAACACCAAAGATAAGCTGAGGAGGACGGAGGAGCAGCATCAGTTTGAGGTTCAGGAGAGGCAGAAGTTGGAGCTCACACTCAGGAATCTGGAGCTGGAGATGAGAACACTAGTTAATAACATGAAGCAGGTACTTCGTTATAAAATACCATCCAAACTTTCATACATTTTTATAACTATCAATATAGCTATCTTTATGTTGTGATAATTTCACGCTTAGTTTGTAGCTTATTAGTAACTGTTATTTATAATACAGTATTTATTTGGAAAACATGGCGATATGATGAGAAACATTGGATTTTTTCATTATTAGTTATCTTGTCCTATTGTCGTCATAATGTGCACATGACTGTTACACAATTGGTTTGCTGTTTATGCCAACAACCCAGCTTGAAGAGGACCATAGTGAGACCCAGAGACTGCTGGCTCAGGAGAGAAGTGCTCGGACGCTGCAGGAGAACCTGCTCAGCAGTCATCTCCGTAAGCAGCAAGAGATCGAGGACGAGAACAAACGAAACATAAGCAAGAGCAGCGAGGTAATTCTCACCCTCATTTGGTTGAAGAAAAAAAAAACTAAAACAGTTTTTGAACAGTCCGCACCCACTGATGTCATTTGAGTTGCTGTAAATGAACAGATAATGTTTAAGATAATTAGATTTTAGGGATGCAAAGTCAGGGTGTTGTAGTATGTTGTTAACATATTGCTTGTTGTTAAAAAAAAAACTTTTGAAAATAAATAAAACATTTTGTAGTCAAATCTGTAAGTATAATCTGCAGACTTGAGGCTATCTTAACATGTTTTTATTTGTTTTTTAACTTTTTTTCATAGGCTCTGTCTCAGCTCACCGAGGCCAGTGACAGGGAGAGGGAGTTGCTGCAACAAACGGCTACCTTACAGGAGCAGCTGACCATCCTGAGAACAGACCTTCAGCATTCACAGGCCAACAGCAGTCTCAAAGAGAGCCACCTTTTGGAGGAGAACGAGACCCTCAAGGAACAGATCGAAGATGCTCGAAGAGATCTCAAACTGAGCAATGAAGCCCTGACTCAAACTGTCTTCAACTGCAATAACCAGATCACCACCCTGAAGTCTGAGTTAGCTATGACAGCGACTCGTTTTGAAAATGAGCGGAAGACTCGGGAAACATTAGAGGCAGAGGTTGAGTCCACTCGCACCCGCCTGGCTGGAGCCGTAAAGGAGGCAGAGCTTTGCCTGGCAGCTCACACTGACGCAGAGAGAGCTCTACTCAGGGAGAAAGACGAACACCAGCGTCTCAAAGACAGACTCACGGGTTAGTAGGCATGTCTGGACAGTTCCAAGCTATTATTTCATGAACTGCTATTCTGTGAAACACAAACCAGTGCCTAACTGTGAAAGATTGTTTGCATTGTTATATCAGTTTTAAAGAATGTATTTGTCAAACATGCTCACCAGTTTGGGAAAACATTTTGTATCATCAGTTCGCTTTCTGTGTCACTTAATAAATGTGCTTTTTGCTCTTTGTATATAAGGAAGGATCAGGTACAAAGAGCTTGACTGTAGCACCTACTACTGGCAACCAGATTTGAATCATTGACAACTATTTAATTGATCCAGTTGCCTCTATTGGTATCATCCTTGGTTGAACAAAACAAATTGACCTCCTGCTGTGTATGGACAGGATTTAGTGGCTTGTGTTTAATTGCATAAGCAGCCTTTCTTTACATCCGCCAAGGAGATTATCACCTCCGCATCCTCAGCAGGATAAAGGAAAGAACACTGCTGGCCTGCAACTTTGCCAGATGTCGTAGAGAGGTCGGAAGAACCCATTATATATTAAAGCAAATCCAGGATCCAACCCGTAAGCAAGCAATAATATCAACGAGATGTCTGCGGCCTATCATTCAATATGAAACTAAATAAGCATCATTGATACTGCCTTAGGTTACATGTTTCATTCTCATTCAAACAAATCTCCCCCAAATAATGTTGAGTATTTAACCTGTTATTTTCTGTAGTTTTGTTGATTTTTATCCCACAATATTGATATTATATGTATTACTCTTTATATTTGTAAAAGGATTTAAACAGCTATAATTAACACTCCATTTCCTAAGTTGTTTAATGTACCAAAGAGAAACAGATACGTTTACTGCTTCACTCTCTTCAGCTGCATTCTCACTGAAGGATTTATGAATTACTCAGCAAAAAACTACAAGTGAAAAGCTTCCCTCTTCTAAGGGGGGTGACAGTAAAAGTTCAAGAACCACTGGACTAGTCAGAGGTCTGTGATCTCAGAGTGCCTGTCTCTTTTTTCATACATTTTTGTCCTACAATTTTTATGTGTTGCTTGATTCAAAGAATGTTTATAGCTCCTAATGTTTTTATTTCTACAGGTGAAGCAGCCACACAACGTGAAGCAGTGAGCAGCCTGTCCCAGAAGCTGACCAAGGCAGAGGCTCGTGCAAACAGCATGGAGAATGAAGTGCACCGAGTCACCCTGCAGCTGACGGAGAAAGGCCTGCTGCTGGAGGTCCTACAGCGAGAGAAGGACCAGGCAGCTGTACGCGTCAAAGAGATGGAATCGACTCTGCATGCTGAAAGGGAGCTGGTCAGCCGTGCAGCAGCACGCGAAGAAGCCGCAAAGGAGCAGCTGGCCCAGGCCAAGAGTGAGGAAATGTTATTAAGGCAACAGCTCAGTGAGTCCCAAAACAAAGGTGAGGCAAAGGAGCGCGCTGTGACTGACGCCCAACAGAGCTTCAAAGATATTCTGTCCAAGCTGCGCTCGGACTATGAAGAGAGAGCACAACTAGTGGAGGAGAGAAATAAGGAGCTGGCCAGTAAGGCTGCTGATCTACGAGATCAGATCTACAAGTTAGAAGAAGAGAAGAGCGAAAGAGAGGTAAGATTAGGGGCCTTCAGAGTAAGAGGATTAGCCAATTTCCGCCTCCAGACTAAGTTTTAGCCTTTCTTCCACATGCTTAATCATAAAAACTCTGCCTTCTTTGCATTCTGTCTCATCTTGATTGGATTCAGGCTAATCTGAGGCAGCTGCAGCAGGAGCTCGCCGACTCCCTCAAGAAGTTGTCAATGAGTGAAGCTTCTCTAGAGGTCAACACACGCTACCGCAGTGACCTGGAGGAGGAGAAGGCTCGGCTCCTTAAAGACTTGGACAGGCTCAAAGGAAAGGTAATGGAAGGAAACAGTGCCCCCTTGTGGAAGAAAACTTTACTACATTTCTGTATTAGCTGTACCAGTATTTATGAAGAAAAACACTGTATTGAAATCAGATGGCTCATTGTCTTTATGATAAGGTCATTAAGTTATAAGCAACAATCACTGTCATCAATGAACTCACTGTTCAATCTAATGTAACATGGCTAATGAGGTGGTTGATTGTCTTTTTAGCTGGAGGAAAGTGAGGACCAGTATGTGCAGGCTGAGAGAAGGATAAACAGCCTTAAGAGTAGTCTGGATGAAAAGGAAAAAGAACTCATCACAGCTGCTCAGAAACTGCAGGAGGCGCTGTCTACTTCAGCAGCTTCTGATTCCACCATCAAACAGCTGGAGGAAGCCGTGCAAAGGTATTTACTGTGAACACGTGCTGTTCAAACAAACACTCGCAGTTTGGTTGAATGTTGATCTCTTGATTTAAAAAAAATGATATCTCACATTAACAAAATAAGTGTAAAACAGGGCTTATAAAAACTCACTCCGTAGCACAATAATAAAGATAAATTACTGACACATATCAATCTAATATCACATTAGGCTGGAGATCGAGAATGCAAGGCTGGAAGCTGCTGCAAAGCAACAGTCCAACAAGATCGATGCACTTCAAAAAGGAGCTCAAGAAGCTGCCATGGTGAGTCCTGCAAAATTAATAGAACTATCTACCGTTAGTCATTTTACAAAGGACATGTTTGGTTCTGTAACTATTCTTTTTTTTTTGTCAGTTCTGTGATTATTAGACTCATCTCTTCAGGTATCAACATTATGAGGTTATTGTTATTATTTTAAGCCATCTGATCTTTTTTCAGCTATCTGACTGCTCACCTGGAGGAGGGGTTGGTATTTTGGATGTAGACTTAGTTTCTTGGTGTGGCTGTACCTCTGTTCTCCCAAAGATACTTTAATGTGACTGAACTCACATTGTGTATGGGTGTAAAGAATAAGTAGCACTTGGACTTTGTGGTTTATTTTGGTACAATCTGTTAGAGAAGGAGTTTAGATATATGAATGAAGTAAGAGCTTTGATTCCATTTAGGTCTGGGTTTTCTTGGTGACATCAACACGTATTTTCTCCCTTTTAGCTTGATCTTGGTGTGTGGGGTCTTTCTCTCCTTTGAGTCTCAAGCTGCATGATGCATGTTTCTTCCTTTAGTCCAAAGCAGTATCTCAACTGTCCTAAAAGATGAACAACAAAAAAATCAGCAGCAATTCAATGAAACGTTTCGAAAGACACTTATTTTTTTTTACAATTCTTTGTATTTCTATAGGTCAGAACTCATTTGGAGGACTTGGTTACAAATCTACAGAGCAGTAAGATGACTTTGGAAGACCAACTCAGTAGGGAGGTTGGTGGCATGTTTTGTTTCCTTACAAGTCAAACTTTCAGCTTAGATGTCCATTTCTTACTCGATTCTTACTTTCTAATCTTTTTATATATATTTGTCAAGTCTGAGCAGGGAGTTCATAAATGACTGACTTGCCAGCCAAATGTCCTAGACAGTGTTCCAATTAAAAAAATAGAGAGAAACTTAGTAACAGCTGGGGGAAATTAAGACAGAGGCAAATTCTCTTTAGACTTTCTTCTACTCACACATTCAATCATGCACATATTACACGTTTTTACTCTGGTATTCCAGTGCTTATACAAACCTGGATTACATTTTATGGTATATCTAAGAGTTTCTCTGTGGTAAGATGATATCAATGTCTAAATTGTGATCAATGTAAGAAGCTAAAAGAAGATTCTTTTATTAACATATTCACTGTCTTTCTTAGGTCCAGAAGCAGAGCATGTTATCTCACACAGCCCAGGACTCGAAGGCCTTGTGGGAGGAGGAGCTGAAGAGCCGTTCTAAGTTAGGACTGCGTCTGGCAGAGCTGGAAAAGGAAAAAGGAGATTTAAGCACCCAGGTGACCACACTTAGACATTTACATGCAGGCTGGTGATTTAAGTTAAAATGTTTGGTGATTTAAAAACTGCGTTTAGTGTCCTAAGAAATGTTGGTCTGTTGCCTGTGTTCTAGATGGAAATAGAAAAAAAGAAAGCCAAGAAAATAGCAGAGCAGAAGAAGGCTATTGATGAGCGGCTGGATCAGGAGATGAAGAGAAACACAGATCTTCAAAAAGAAATGTACAGGTGACTCCTAACCTCCTCCTCGCCCCTTCCTCACCCTGGGCAGAGCTTCATCCCTCTAAACACCACTAGGATCCAGTAGAGCACAATCTGTCCTGGCTTCTGTGGCAGTGGTGCACCAGTGTGTGTGTATCTTTCTAAGTATCTGTGGTCTTTGTGGTTTTGTTTATGTTTGTGCTCATTTAATTGTCTTGTTTTGTGAATTTTGTTCTTTACAAAGTTCATTTTGGCGAACATTTATGTCCAATTTGAGTAAAGTGTTAGAATTTTTGTGTTTACTGTGTTGATTTTTTTTTTTTAAATCAGAACTTGTTGCATCAACAAATTTATTTTGCTTACCTGAAGTGTTTTTTCATCTGTGTTTAAGGTTGCGTACTTTAGTGAAGAATGCAAAGAAAAGATTGCGGGAACAAGACACAGGTGGAGCAGAATTTGGCTCTCCAATGAGCAGCTTACGGATGGACCAAGGCAGACACAGCCAAGCTGAGGGTTCCTTTGGACGAATGAAAGAAAAGGTTTGTCTGTAATTACTGTAAATAAGTTGCACAAGTATTTAAAACGCAGTCTGTTGTGGTGGTCTCCCAGAGAGAACAAAGGTTTACACTGTCTTCCTGCTTGACGATTTCCAATGCGTTCAGGAGAGTCCAGAACGTGCCATTTCTGTGCAATGTTTTTTCAAAATTATTTTTTTGCAATGTGGAGTTTGCATTCCTGCTAGCTACCAATATGCTAGTTGAGCTCTCAGCCCACAATGATAGTTGTGAAGAACAGCCACAGCCCACGAGTCATGCTGCCCACCTCTGCTGGTCACGTTCATAATTGAGGAATCATTTTAATTTAAACCTGTGCTCCACAAGGTTTATTTACTCTACAGTATACCAGGTTTCCTTAAATACAGGTTTATGTCCTCATGAGGTAGAAAAGCTGTTAACAAGTGCCGCCCCCACCCTGGTCCAGGCCTGTTATGTATCCCAGCATATTTAGAGTAGTGAAGCAACTGCTTGCAATACACAAGGAATGGGAGCGGATTTGTAATAGTGCCTGGTCGAGCGCAGTAGATAGTAGCTGCACTTGTTGAAATATAATATGGGATGCAGCCAACTTTTTAGAAAAAATAGGTATTAATAGTGTGTCTTGTACACTTAATTTTACGAGTTGGAAACTTTGTGCTTAGCAACCAAAACTCAGCTGTTAGACATTGGCCTCCAACAGTTTTCCCATCTTCTTTTGTTACCAGGTGGAGGATCTGCAGGTGCAGCTGGAGAAGGAAGCGTCCCGCCGCAGTCAGCTCGAGAGGATGAACGGGGAGCTTAAGGATCAGCTGGCCTCCATGAGAGGCTTGAGCCACAGTAATGACCAGCAGGAGAGGAGTAAGAGGCAGTTGGAAGAGGAGGTACTGGACCTGAGGCGTCGAATGGAGGCAGCTCACTCGGAGCAGAGCAACGTGGAGCAGTACCGCCGTGATGCAGAGGAGAGGGCACGTCAGGAGATCCAACAGAAACTGGAGCAGGTCAACCTCTTCCTGCAGGTAAAAGTTCTGTTGGGTAAAAAAAAAAACTGTTGCTATGCACGTGTGACTTCTAAAACCATCAAGTTTTGATTGATGATTGTATATGTTCGTCCACCAGTCTCAGGCAGCATCACAAGAAGCATTGGATCAGATTAAATCGGCCAATGAGGCTAACCTGCGTTCCCAACTGGAGCAGAAGATCCGGGAGCTGGAGGGGGACCTGGGCCGGGCCCGCACCACCCACCATGACAGCCTCAATCAAAGAGACTCTACACGCACAGAACTAGAGCGATACCGGCAACTCTACGCTGAGGAGCTACGCCTCCGCAAGTCCCTGGCTGCCAAACTAGAAAGGTCTGAGCTTGTTTGTAAAACTTCCAGGTTTTCTTGAGGATACACTCTGACCAATCCTTCAATACCTGATTCTGTGGTGTAATCAGACAACGCTGCTGATGGTGATAAACCTTTGCTGTGTTTTCCCTATAGGGCCAACACTCGTCTTTCAGAAGCCAATTCTAAGTTGCTCAATGAGCGCAGCAGGTCTCTGATCACCAGCAGCATCGCAAACGGGAGCCTCGCAGGGCCTTCGCTGGACGTTGGCTCTTTGGGTTCCCCTGCACACTACGGGAACACACTTGGGCCCCTTAACAGGAGTTTCGGCCTGGGACTGTCCCTCCTCAGTCCTGTGACTGATGGACAGAACAGCAGGGTGGAGGATTACCTAGCCAAGGTCTGTACAGTCATGAATCGATACTCTCATTCTGTCAGAGGAGGCAACTTTAAAAGATGAAGTTTACTTACTTTGGGCCATATTCATCTCCATAGTGTCATGGTTGTCGGTGTTATTGTGTGAGAAGTGTGCTTTTCACACTGTGTTCTTATTTTTTTCCCTCTTTCAAATTGTTTCTTCCTCTCTCTATCTTCAGACTTTTTTTGTAGCAGGACTTTCCTTCTAACCCGTCTTCTATTTCTCACTTTTTTTAGCTTCTAGCTCAAAAGTCTGTCTCTCATCTGTCCTCTCTTCAGCCAGACTCATAACCAGGTGTGTAGATGTGTGTAGCTCAGTGAATGATTGGCTGCTGTTCCCTTCACTCTGCTTGTGTATTATGGCTCTGTTCACATCCAAACAGTGATGTTCAGTGTCGGCACAGTGAGGAAACAAACTGCAGATGTTGTTTTTAAATAGAACAAGCATTTGAAATGATCATTTTGACTGAGATTTCATTTCATATCTCAAATATATATATTACAAATATCTGAAAGTAAACGTAAAATTACAAAGTTAGGATTGTGTTGTGCATTTCTACTACAGTGGTCCATTTTTTTACTCAGCCTGTCCATGTTTGTTGTTGAGGAATTCGATACTTCAGGATTTCAACAGTTAATGTTATAAACAAACAAAAATATGTAACAAGTGGACATGCCAAATGTTGAGAAACCTTCCAAAAAGGAAACATCCAAGAAGTGAGGCGTTGTATAAAATGTTCCTTTTCAAATGTGAGTGAACCCTGGGGTTTGCATTGTGTGGTTGGTGACTGTTTGTTCCAGCTGACATCTCTGACGCTGCTCTGAGTTCATTTTCTTCATGCTGTAGTCGAGATTATTTGGCCTTTTTGTTTTTTGAGGGAGGTCACTGTACTCTGTTACTTCGCCTACTAAAACTGATTTAAAAAGTGAAGTGTGATAACCTCTACCAGTTGTATCACATACCACTTACTATTATTATAATTATGATTTAAAAAAAAAACTATTCTAAGAAAAGTACATTTTGCAAAAAAGATAATTTCCCTCTTATGGTGCACGCTCATTCTGGAATAGTAAAATAAAAATAAAGCAGTAACTCAGCCCATTAAACCTACTGATGTGAATTCTTGAAGTAACTTTTATTAAACAAATTGTCGTTTCCTCCGTCATTAAACCAAAGTTATGATGCATTTTAATGCATCTTGTAGAAAATATTTTCATCATTTTTTGAAGAAATTGGTGTTAGTTAACCAAACTGATAGAAGCATCAGCAGAAGTGTCAAAAAGCCTGAAGGAATGTCACACTGAAGCAGCGCTAGCATGGCATGCTTGGCATGTTCTGCTGTGTTTCATCTCATACTCTTGTCGTGTTTTTAAAAACTCTTATGGTTTATGTAAAAAGTGTTTAACTTTTTACTATGGTATCGTACTTGGTGGTGAATACCATATCTGTGTCTTTACTTAAAGCTTGGGTAAGCAACTTATTTTTTTATTCTGATTTTTTTTTAATTTTTTTTTTAGAGTTGAAAATAAATGAAATCGTTACCACTTGTCTCAGAGACTCAAGGAAGAAGTCTTCCACAACTGAATCTAACAAGCTGTGTGTGTGTGTGTGTGTGTGTGTGTGTGTGTGTGTGTGTGTGTGTGTGTGTGTGTGTGTGTGTGTGTGTGTGTGTGTGTGTGTGTGTGTGTGTGTGTGTGTGTGTGTGTGTGTGTGTGTGTGTGTGTGTGTGTGTGTGTGTGTGTGTGTGTGTGTGTGTGGTGGCATTTTTTTAGTTGAATACATTCAATATTCAGCTTACTCTTGATACTTTCTGCATAGTTGCCTTCCAAGTTTTAAAACGTGTGAATACACATGTTTAATGCCATTCATTTCAGTTAATGAAAGATTTTTGTTTTTCTGTTTTGATGGCAAAAAAACAACTAACTCAACTTTTTCCTTTTTGTGTTCAGATGCAGAGTGAGTTGGATAAAAACATATCAAAAGAGTTGAACAATGGTGAGTGGACTGAAGCTGGGAATGCTGACTCAACATCTTTCACCTATTGTATGGCAGGGAAATAAATCAAGCTTTTAAGATATGTTGTATTTTCTGAGGAGATATAGGGTAAGACAGTATCATTCATATGAATTATAACAAAGTTATACGTCTCACCCTGCCCACCTCTCTCCCTCTCTGAGAAAAACGTAAAGAAAAAACAAATATGATTGTGTAGTAATTCTTACTTATTATTTCACAATCAAGTAGTTATTTTTTAAAATCATTTTCCACGTACATGTTGACATTATGCAGCTGGCTGTTAAGTGTGCCTGTGTGACATTTTTAATGTGGCCCATCTGGATTTAACTTTGTTTTAACTTATTTACAACAACAAAAATCAAGATATATATATCGTGTATCACCATTCAAAAATCAAGATGTAATTTTTTTTGGTCCATATTGCCCAACCTCAATTTATTAGATGGTAGAAGTATTTGACTTGCAGCTGCTCATGGTAACTGTGGCCTCTCTCTCTCTCTCTCTTTCTCACTCACTCTCTTTCTCTTTCTCTCTCTTTCTCACTCACTCTCGCTCTCTTTCCCTCTCTCATTCACTCACTCTCTCTCTTGCTCTCTCTCTCACGCTCTCTCTCTCTCTCTCTCTCTCTCTCTCTCTCTCTCTCTCTCTCTCTCTCTCTCTCTCTCTCTCTCTGGTCCTCAGCCACAGCAGAGCTGTATGTCACTTCAGCCCGGATGTCAACAGGGGGCTCTTCCTCCAGGACGGAGCTGGACCCTGTCAGCACGGCCACGGAGCAGTACTTGGAGGTACTCAAGAAGAACTATATGATCTGAACACACATTTGTATTCCAGCCATAAGAATATCAAATCTATTGACAAATATAAGTAGACTCAGTCAAAGAAAGAAACTTTATGTGTTTTTACTCTATTCTTTGAAGATAAAAGTCAACATAATGCACATTGCACTTAACCACTCAGGAGCAAAGGGCAGGAGTTATATGTCTGTTGGTACAATTAGAATGAACCCTGGAAAGTATTTGTTCCTTTTTACTCGTTTGGTTCAACCTGTTGCTGTAACTTTCTTTTAGCACACTACATATAAACAGAAATGTGATTTGTCTTTTCATTTGTGAATATTGGTTACTCGTTTAAATTTGTAAGTATTTGACGTCTGCATCATTATTGTTGCCAAGATCCTACATTTGGTACGTGCCATCATATGGTGCAATATCTGTCTTGGTTTTTTCTGTATTAGTATTGGACTATTATGTGTTTATTTTATTTATTCTTTTTTTTAATTAAAATGATATACTTGAATAAGACGAGCTGGAATTCTCTCTGGCCAGTGAAACAGGGTGAACACGTTTATACAACAATCACTTCGGCTTTTTGTTAGCTTGATTTTAAGTTAAAAACACTTACTTTGTTTCCCAGTATATGTGTTATTTTTCATTACTCACAGATGCTGTAATAGAATGAGTATAGTAAAAAAGAATTTGGACGCCTGTACATTACAGAAGACTAAAGATGTAAATAAAACTGAAAGACCTTTAACTTGAACAAACTGTTTGTATCGGCTTACTGAGTGGACGTGAGACACAAAAAACAAACCAATCACAGAGTCGAGCCGCTTCAGGATGTTTTATCGTTAGAGGTGTTTTATTTTTTTTTCAAAACCTTTCCAGTTTTCCTTTCTTTTCATTTCGATGAATTGTCACATCGGATGTGTCGACTGTGTTATGTGTTTAACAATTCAAGTGAGCATTCGTAAGTAGAAGTGGGAAAAACTGAGATTCTTTTCTTCTAAGATTTAAAATAGATTCATAACTGGGGCTAATAAGTCACCCCCTGCTAAGTGCTAAAGCTAGCTCTTTAACCTTTATTTTGTTCTCGGTCATTTTTTACCCATTTTCAAAAAAAACATGTAATAAAAAATATGGACTACTTTCATTTCATTGCCTAAAAATAACATGGATGGTTCTCTATCACAACCTTTGCAAAAGCCTTTTAAGATCAATATATATATAGAGGTGGGTATATGAGTGTTTTGTAAAAAAGTATAGCTTTTGTTGTCCACTTCTGTGTCCAGACCCATACACACAGACACACACACACACACACATACACACATCAAGGTTAATAGGTCAAAATGCTTTCATTGCAATTTTCCCTTGAATACTGAGCTTCTAGAAATTATATTTCTATTCTGAAATACCCAATTTTGAGATTTAATCCTATCCTGATCATTCTGATCCAGATTTAAGCTTTTTGAAAAGCTGGTCCCTGCAGCTGATTTCTAATCCTGGAGCCGATGTGACAGTAGATGAGCGCTTGGTCTCCTCCAGAGGTCGCAGTGCCTTCAAACAGAATATGCCAAGTAAACCAGGAAAGTATGGCATAAAAATCTGGGTTGCTTGCGATGCGAGGACAAACTACGCCTGCAAGATGCAAATTTACACCTGTAAACCTATTGATGGACGACCAGAAAAGAATCCAGGCAAACGAGTGGTCCTGGAGATGACAGAAGGTCTCCACGGACACACAATCACGTGCAACAACTTCTTCACATCACATGCCCTTGGTAGGAGTTACTAAAAAGAAAGTTGACCATGGTGGGAACAGTTCTAAAGAAATAACCTGAGCTTCCCCCTGCACTTTTGGCAGCCAGAGAAAGGGCACTCTCATTCTCATCAAAGTTTGCTTTCTCTGCAACACATGCACTCGTGTCTTACTGCCCCAAAAGAAGAGGAAATGTGCTTCTGATGAGCACTTTACACAGAGATACTGCTGTGAGCAACAAGGAAGACAAAAAGCCCCAAATCATCCTGGACTACAACAAGAACAAAGGGGCAGTGGACAGCCTGGACAAGGTATTACCATGTTTTTGCAAGATTTAATGTGCATAAAAAATAGCTTATCAAATGCATTGCATTTTTTTTGCAATAGACTGAGCAATTTTCAATCCTTGACTGAGTTTTTGTGTTGTTTTTTTGTTTTGATGCAGGTTACCAGTGTCTTCACGTCTCACTGGTGATGTTTTATAACATACTAGACGTGTCTGCCTACAACTCATTTGTAGTCTGGACTGAGATAAACCATACCTGGAACCATGGTAAGGAGAGGAGACTGTTCCTAGGTTCAGTTTTCATTGTGAAAGTTGGATAATGCAACATCTGAAACCTTGGTGTGGTTGCTCTCCAGATTCATATGCCCGCATTAACAAAATGTTTAATTCCAAAACATCTGTGACCATCGAACGTTTGGCTCCTGTTGCAGTTTCAATTCAACAGAAGAGAAAAAAAAAAACCTTTCAGGAAACAAAGAGCACTCATCAGCCAATGTGTGTTATTTACCGGTACCTGTTTTACATTTGATATTCTTATGTGTGTATTAAGAATTAGGAACGACACATTCAACGTTTAAACCAAAGTTACAAGTTTTAATTTTGTTTTAACACAACCAACATTACAAACAGAACTGCCTACAAACAGTTTTGTTCTACATCAGCATGCCATTCAAACTAAAATATACTATAGTGATAATGTGGACATCAGTAGCTGGCATATCTGAAAATATTTGAAAGATAATCTGGATTGCTGTGATTTTTTTCTCTGAACTGAATATTTTGCCAATGTGAATTCAAAAGCTTTGTGTGTAGTTGCATTAATTCCATTTAAATCAGTTTTAGCTTACAATCATCTATTTATATATTTTAATGAGCAACATGTGATTGTCCAATGAAACTGAAAGTAAAAAACAACTTTGTAGTCACATATTTGAGCTGTAAGTAAACCCCTTTAAATGTTCCTTTACTTGTACGTTTCATATACTGTGAACTAGTGCCCTCTAGTGTTCAGTGTAAACATTGTAAACACTATTGGTGAATTGAGGCAGAAAAACATCCCAAAGTTTAGTATTCATCATGAAATGGGTACTCGGGATGGTCACTCCACCTGTGTTAGGACAAACAAAAAGTGTTATTACTTCTGAGCTGGACGATGATGAGGACTAATAAGACTTCAATAAAACTGTTCTTGCATTTCAGAACAAAAAACACAACACAATGTATTAAAGTACTAAGTAGGACCTATATAAATACATCCAGGTTAGGTACAGTATTAGGCTGAACTCTCCTTTGACTATAACCTATAAATGCTTATACTTACATCAGCAGCTCAACAAATCGAATGTTTTTGTTCAGTGCTTCAACAGCTTTCATTTCATCCTCAGTGAGTGAAAAATCAAATATCTGGAACAAAATATGTGATTTGATTAAACCAGGGTATGTCTACTCTAAAATCACTGCATAAAATATGAGTTTTAGCACCATAACTTATCTAATTGATAAGTGTTTTCACTGTGTACAGTTGATACAAGCTCTTATCAGGTAATCATTTTTGATAAAAGCCACCTGAAAGTTATGTGTAATCCTCTCTGGGTTGAAGCTCTTGGGGATCACGACGACTCCTCTCTGGACGTTGAAGCGTAGAGCCACCTGAGCACTGCTCTTGTTGTACTTTTTCCCGATGGATACAAGCAGCTCGTCCTCCAGCATGGGGGGACATTTCACATTCACCCTGAACCAGAGAGGAAAAACTTCACTTATCTGCTTAGTTTTGTTATTGGACATTGACTCTTTATCCTCTTTAACGTCATCTTCTGTTAATAGTATCACATCTGCTTTAAAAAGTGCATTTTATCTTGCATACCAGGATGCATCTCTGGAGGAGCCAATTGGGCAGTATCCAACAATCACAATGTCGTTGTGGCGACAGTACTCCATGAGCTTGGGTTGTGTGAAGTACGGGTGACATTCAACCTACAGGTATGTAAGAAGAAGACATTTGGCCCAAAGTGGTCAGACACTGGGTTGACAGTTGGATGAGAATAGAATAAAGACTTCCAATCATTATTGTTTATAAAGAAAATTTTGTAATTTGTGACAAAACGTTTCATCGATAATATCTGTTGAGTACTCAATTTGCTACATGTATCCCTTTTAATATAACATCTTCAGAAAACTCTTTCAATGTGGGAATGACAGCATCCTGCAAAGACCACTAAAGAACTAATTTATCTAAGTAGACTGACAGAAGAAAATCCTTCCTGTAATTTCAACCAGTAAAGGATAATCCTTTAAACAAAGTAACTTTTTCTGTCAGAGTTTTCTTATAAAATGTGAAGTTTATTTCTTAAATGAAGCACAACAACCTAAGAACGCCTCATGTCTAATACACTGCTGTATATACTGCCATAATATTCTTCTATAGAGACTGTTATCTCTTCTGTTAATGACTCTGACCATTCAGGTGTCAGGGATCTAAAGTGGAGGTCACCTGGTTGGACACAGGTTTGTGTTTGAGGCCGGGTTTATTCAGCAGCAGCTCCAGCTGTCTGCGGTTGAAGTTGGAGACTCCCAGAGATTTAACCAATCCTGCGTCTTTGCAAGCCTCCAAGGCCTGTTGAGAGGAAAAGATTTACATCTTGCAGAGCATGGGCGTGATTATCTATACAGACTTACTGAGATAGTGGAGAAAAAAACTACAGCACACAGTGTAGAAGAACAATCAGACCTTTGAACACACAATGGCTGTTTATGACATTGACCTTGATACTTAATTACAGAATGTTTACACATTAGTCTTTAAGTTCAGAGGAATATCACGCCACATACTTAGTGGTTTTCCTTTAATCCAATTCTAAATATGTTTACTGTCATAATTATCGATGTCTGGTTTAATTCAGGATGGCAGTCATAAGTTATTACAAGCACGTCTAAAATGTAGACAAGTTTAGCCGAGCCTTCAGGTTGGAGAAAGGAACAGCTGAAGTTATGTTGCACAATGAAATTTGACATTTCATGAGATAACCTCTAGTTCAATTTAATATAATACTTTATAAACTCTATGCAGTTAATCACCATCTCACCATGCTCAGTTGTGTCTGAATATTCAAAGTCATACTGTATGTATATAACTCTTTGAAACAGAGTTACACATAAATGTATGAATGAATGTTACAAAAAGTGAGAAAATACCCTCTCAGAACATTACAACAGGGGGAAGAATTGAAGTCATTAAACACTAAACATCCACTGTGACCTCAACAGACCTCACCTCCCATGTTGCACAGATGTCTGTGTGGTGGTAGATGTATTTTCCATCCTCGTCCTTTGGATAGAACTCATTGCCAGGCTGGAAGTGAAGCATAATTCAAACACTTGTGTGAACATTTATACATATTCTTGTTGCTTAAACAACCTGACCATGATGATTATATTATTAAAGGGGAATGTCCCTATAAATGTATACAGCACCTTATCCTAAAGGTGAGGTGATGTTGGGTTCATTTGACTAAATAAACAAATATCAGACTATAACCTAAACACCAAGTTGCACTTTTCCGATCATATCCAAACATAGGCATGAATGTCCAATCTTTTAAGAGTTGCATCAGCAACATATCACACAACTGTGAGATTTAAATGTTTTAATAAATGGTCTACCATGACTGATATTTATCAAATCTATAAAAAATAGTATTTAAATAAAACATCAACT